GGACTTTGACCTGTTCCACCTGCTGCGACACGCTCCGCCCACCGCTCGATATCTTGTCTGCGTCGCAATGTTGATCTGCTATGCTCTCTCTTCTCGGACTTCTCTACCGCTCTCCGCGCTCACATTATCTCTCATCTCCCTGCCGGCCTTTTGAACTTCTCCGCAACGTAGAGCAAAAGGCTCGTATTTCCTGTGTATTTCACGAATTTTCCCACCCCTACATCACATTTGAGTAGAATAACCTCATCAATTCGAGCTTGAATCTTGCCTTTAAGTAAACCATGCATTTTCTGTGGATGCAAAGGAATTCTTCTATAACTTAGTACATGTTATGCAATCTGGAGCTCATACAAAAATTTGTCAGACCTGAAAGGCAGTCCGTATAATGTGGCATTGATTGCAGACGTCTGGCGTGGCAGTTCGAATCAAACCTCTACCTGGATATTGCACGGTTATTGCTTTCCTTGCTGCATGCTTGGAATATTGACAATGATCTCGATGCTGTTTGCATTAAAAAACTTGGCCTCAATAAGCCGAAGGGGCAGCTCTACTTCGGTAATGTGTCACGACAAGGTTGGTCGTTATGATCTTATCACATCTCGAACTAGCTCACTGCTCAATTTCTAGGTCAACTTTCCGTTGTGCTCCCTCAACGAACTCAGCTAACATTTGACTATTTTTCTACTGAACTCCGCTGGCAGGTAGGTTCTGTTTGTTCTATATCTTGACACTTTCCTACCTTTCCTTTACAGGCGAGCCATTCACTAACCACAACTCATTTACTTGCCATAATCTCAACGGCAAATACGCTTATGGGCATGAAAAACGCAGCTGCTCAAGTCGAGTATGTGAAGCTTGTTCTAAATTGTTATATATCACTTTCAATTTTTCTGCCGCAAATGACTCATACCGCCAGTGAATGTCGGTTCTGACAGCTAATGAATTGTTTTTTTGGAAAGTATGTTGCATCTCAAGATGCTAGCTGTAGTTCTGTTATTCCAGATTTCGATGGCTGTGAGCAGTTTCGGTAGTGATTGAAATTTTTCAGGAATACACGAAGGAGTTCGCTGGCATCGCAGGCGCAACCACAAAAGAAACTCACTGCGGAAAACATGATCAGTGAGCGGCAGCAACTCAAACAAGGTTCGATATAGTTTTTGTGCTTTTCTTCCTCCTCTTCTTCTCCCTAGCCGTTAGTCCTGCACAGACGTAGGGTCCGCTATCTTTGCTAGTCGTCGCCACTTTGTTTTATCCAGGGTATCTTCTGCCATGGCCACGAGGTCCTTTGCCTGCGTTCATTGCTCATTCAGTCCTGTGTCTCCGTAGCGAGTGTCCACACAATCGCATGCGTTGTTCACTCTTCTTCAGTTGGGCAGGGGCTCTATTCATGACCGCTCTGACATCCTCGATTGAGACCATGGGCAGTCACGTAC